TACCTCTTATAAATCAACAGTGCTGAACTCTAAAATGCAAAATGTGAATCTCCTTTGGAAAGGATGAATCATAGAGTCTTACACAATTCTGGACTCATCTCCCACCTACTCAATGCACCAAATATGTGTTTACTGGGTATATGAGCTCAGAGGGACAGAGGGACTTCAGAAGCTTCAATTCTAGTGGGGAAGAAGCAGGTAGAAGTATGACATGCACACATGATGATGACTCAAGGCCATGGTGTGCAACATGTCACAAGATGTTACAAGGTGCTCCTGGAGAGGGCTCACATTTAACAAGGCATCAGTGAAGGCTTCGAGTTAAGGCAGCAACAGAAGTGGCTAGACAGGAAGGACAAGAAGTATTCCCACAGGAAGAGGTAAGACTGGTAGAAGGCTCACTGCTCCAGAGAAGAAGGAAAGGCTTTCAGGGAATGGAACGTTATCTCTTTCAGCCCAAGCACAAGATGCAAGGAACACATGACATGAGGCTAGAAAAGCAGGTGGGGGTAATACTACCAGAAGGGCCTTGAATGTCCCCCATCACGAGTTTATGTGCAACTCCTGAAGATCTCTGATGCAAGAAAGGACCTAACCAGGTAAGCACTTTAAAAGGGGGAAAACTTGGGGTGCCTGGGTGGCTCAATCAGTTAAATGTCCAACTTGTGGTTTCAGCTCAGGTCGTGATCCCAGGGTTGCAGGATCAAGCCCTGCCTCAGGCTCTTTGCTGAGCATGGAATCTGTTTGGGACTCTCTCCCTCTCTCTGCCCGTTCCCTGCCCGTGCTCACTCTCTCTCTCTTTCAATCTCTCTCAAAATAAATAAATAAACATTTAAACAAATAAAAAGGGGCACACTCACCTAGGATCTTACTGACAAAAGTGAGTAGGAAATAAGTGGGGATTTTAACGAATAAGATTGGTAAAATGTGACTTAAAAAAGGAAGAATTACAGGCTACAGTTTGTGCCAGATGTCAGAGAGAATGGGGAAGATGCCTTTAACAAACTGAAGTTCGGAGACACTGTTATGGGGGTGAGGGAGACAGGGAAAATGACCAGGTTGGCTGGGAAACCCTACTGAGATCTTACATCACTGTGACACCAACAACAAGTACAGAACAGTGGCAACACAAGTCACCTACCTTGCTCTCTTCCACTTTGATTAAAAAAAATAAAAGTAAGGCCACAGGGCCTTTGCATATACAGGTTCCTCAGCCTAGAGGTTTAAGTCCAGCCCCTATGGAGTTAAAGCAGCTCAGAACACTCTTTCTTGACCCTCTCAGAAAGGATCAGCCTGTCACATGCTTTGATGGGATAGTGTTCCTCTCGGTCATAGCTCTTCTCTCAATTATGATTATGCACTTATTTTTGTGATTATTTGATTAATGTAGTCTCTCCATCACTAAGCTGTGAGCTTCCAATAGGGTCCCCCATGCCTATGTAGCAGGTCTCAATGAAATCTATGAAAGAGGGGACAAGAGGGAGGTGACTGTTAGATTTTAGTGAGCAGATGGTGTGGGGACCTGAAATCACATCCCACAAGAGAGGGCTGAAGCAACGGACATATTCAGCCAGAAGAGAAGCCTCATGGCAAGCTGGTGGTCTCCAAATATCTGAAAGGCTATTGTGGGGACGATGGATTAGTGGTGCACTGTGTGGTCTCCAGGGGTAGAAAAGAACCAGGACTGATGGATAAAGGTTCCAAGGAGACGGATCTCAGCTCAAGGGCTGGAGCAATTTTGACAGAGCCAGGGAAAATGGCTTCCTCCAGGCACCCGCAAGTCCCTGTCACTAGACATGCTCGGTCAGAGGCACACAGCCACCTGAAGAGGCTATCATAGGTGACTTGATGCACGGGTAGACATTTATGCTAGAGGCACTTTGAAGGTCCCTCCAGCCCCAACTGAACTCTTCTGGCTGTACTGCCCGCTCTCGGGAGGCACCCATGCGTTTGCACATGAATCCCTAGGAATAGGTCATGGGCTGTCCCGTCTACCTACAATGGCCCACCTTTTCCACTTTCTCTGCCCTGTGGGCTTGTTTCTCTTGCACAAGCCTCAGCTTTCTGTGTATCTCCCTCACCCCAAGGAAGCCCTTCCCGTCTTAACTGTGGTCACTCTTTACGCTGCTCTGCCTCCACAGCACCTCTCACAAGTGTAATCACAGCATTTGTCCCTTTAATGTTTCCACATCAGTAGGCCCCCAAAGGCAGGGAAGATGAACATTCTCTTTCCTAGAGCCTGCCCAGCATCTAGCACAGAGTCTGACATGTGGATCTTGCTTAAATGTCCACGGACAGCCATCCATCACCCTACCCAAATATTACTTCAATTGGTATTTCTCAGAGGGTGACACCTGCAAACTTTTACCACACCTTGTTCACCCTCACCCTGGCGATGCTGGTTTTTCCACCATTCTCTCAAGTGCTTCACACCAAAGCTGCTCAAAGTGTGGTCTGCAAACATTTGCTACTCTGCACTGACATCAGCTCACTCATGGAGAGTAGGTGTTGAAAACGTTTCTACAGCAGCTTGATAAAGTCAGTTCCTGACAGCTGACTCTTGTAATAAAAAACTTGGGCTTGTATTTTCTAGCTTTCTTCCCCTATTCATCTGTACTTGTCTGTTACAAGAGTACCAATCTTGGTCATGTTGGGAAAAAACTGGAGAAGCATTGCCTCAAGAAGTATTCCTTTACTCAACAATGAGGACAGGAAGTCCTCTCACGCTAATTAATGGACCAAAACAAGGGGAGTAAAATGTATAGCCCAGACCCCAAAGACAATGGTGAACTCCCATTTTTCCCTCTGATATTAACTCGATCATCCTCACATAATATAGCTCCCCTCAAACTTAAAAGAAAATCCTAAAAAATGTTTTTTCACTGTGTTGGAGAGCAGTGACCACTCTGATCCAGAGACTCGCCCTCACAACTCTGCTGCTGAACCCACTGTCATTGTCCCTGAACACATCGTATCCTATAATGGAGCTGTGAACACAAAGAAATCCAACGTGCTCACAAGCCAAGGACATGAATATTTTGGCTTTAGTAAATGACACCAGTATTATCATTCACAGAAGGTTTAAACTTGGTGTCTAATTGCATTATGAACACACACACCACAGTAAGGACCTAGTTAGGTCTGAGTTAATAGTCCTCTGCACAGCAACCTCCAACACCATCATGACAGCTCATTGCTCTTGTCACCCCACCCCATCTGCCTCACATATCCCATTCAGGGTGGGGTCCTGGCAGCCAGACGTACCCCCACACCTCCAACTCTTGAAACTGGCTTTCCCTACTGGTCAGTTGAACTTGGCATTACTTGTGCATTATTCCCCTGAAGACTCATCAGTTACTATTAATTATTGCCTCTTATTCACATTACTCATTTGCCCTTTATCCTCTCACCAGTTTGTAGGACACACAACAGCCACACTGCCAGAGACGACAGATAAATATCCATTACGTGCCCTGGGGCATCTCAGGCTGGATGCAGAGGGGCATACCCAAGAAAATACATGACATAGCAGTTCATGGTTATTCAATCAGAAGAGATCTACCAGGTAAGAAAGCATTTGCAACACTCCTCCCCCTGCCCCAGTCCTGCTCTTCCCTGGGCCTAGATGTCACTGTAAATTCCTAACATCTCTACCAGTTCCTACTATAGACAAAACTCTCATTTCGTCATGAATCAAATTACCATGAAACAGACATTACAATGCATGTGAAGTACAGCCATGGAAATCTGCTTTCCAAAATGCAGGTGATGGGAGCAAGGAATTCCATTCTTCCTCATGCTGCTGGTTAATTTGAAGAAAGGCTCCAATCAAAATCACACAAAGATGAGCAGGTGGTTGAATGGACCACTCAGAATAATGTAATATGCAATACACAGTGGACACATAAATAAAAGCTAAAAGCAACCACACAAAGGTAGAAAAATAAACTGGGGGTGCCTGGGGGGCTCAGTCAGTTAAGCATCTGACTCTTGATTTCAGCTCAGGTTATGATCTCACGGTCTGTGAGTTCAAGCCTCACATTAGGCTCTGAGCTGACAGGGCAGAGCCTGCTTGGGATTCTCTCTCTGTCTCTTTCTGTCCCTCCCCGGCTCATGCTCACTCTCTCTTAAAGTAAATAAACATTAAAAAAAAAAGAAAAAGAAAAAGAACTGAAGGCCTATGACACACAACCCTATTTGGAAAAACCAAAATTGTAAAAGGTCCTAGAAAGGCAGAGTGCACGATGGCAGATAAGACAGACACCCATAGTTTACTCTCCTTTGTACAAAAACTGAGAACTTTCAGAATTCTTTAAAATCACATTTCTAATTACTAACATATGGAAGCAAGTGATTTTAAGTGACCCTGGGAGAATAACCTGGAGAATAAAAAACTTTCTTGTTTTCTGTCAAAGCCATTCTGTGTTTTGTAGTTCTGGACCTCTCAGAGTAAAGCACGCACCAAACTTCAGTGGGCGGGCGGAGAGGTCCAATAACAGATGCCCAGATGCCACAACTACCCTTTGCACAACTCTAGTTTCCACCAAAATAACAAAAAGGTAGCGCTGAGCTGGGTAAAAAGACAACTCGTTTCAAGTTTGAGATTTCAAGAGTTTGTGACAGCTTACTGCTCACAACACAGTCCCGTTGGAAATCTCCAGCAGCTACCCTCTGACCAAAGGCAAAGCAGGGCAGCTTTCTGAAGAAGGGTCAAGCAAGGAGGGCCAACCACCCCCGGTTCTTGCCTTCCTCCTGGTCCCTGTCTACAACAGCTTCTCTCCAGAAATAACTAAATGCATGAGATCACCCATAGTGAGAAGACAGAGGCATGACACCTACAAGGTGCCTATTTATAGAAAGTGTTAACACTCCTCAGGAAAAGGCACTAGAAATCTCCTTGGAAACGCCCAAGCCTGTGCTCCCTTTGGAATTCTAGTCTGCTAATACCCATGACTAAGTAATTGCCTTTAAAACAAAACTGAGGAGTTAGAGGTACTTACGGTTTCCCCCCAGGGATTCCTGCCAGGTTGGGAGGGATTGTAGGTACTCTCATGTGAGGGGGAGGATCAAACCCAACCTGGAAACAAAATAAGGCATTGAAGACTCAGTTTATGTAGAGTAGGCACGTTGTGAACATCTATAAAGACTTTTCACTAGAAACTCCTAGATCTCCAAAGCAACATAAACAGGAACAGGAACATGTGCTAACATTTTTCAAAAGAAAAATTATAATGCAAGAGGTAATACAAGCACCTCTAAATGACAAGCTACGCATCTTTTTGGGGAGGTGGGCTGGAGCATAGTCTACTTGTACGTGGAGATCCAGCTTCCCACAGTAAATACTTCCTGTGGACTTAGGATGTCCTGCCTTGCCCAAACAAGTGCAGAGAGCAGTATGCTGCCTGAGTCAGGACTCCTTGACCTTGGCACAATCAATGTTTTTGGGCCAGATAGTTTGGGGCTGTCCTGGGCATGGCAGGACATTTAGCAGCACCCCTGGCTTCTACACAATACGTACCAAAAGTATCAGTGCTACTGATCGTAAAAAGTGTCTCCACATATTACCAAATGTCCCAAGGGGGCAAAATAACCTCCCAGTTTCACAGTTACTGCTTAAACCTTCATAGATTCCCTAGTTTGTGCGCCCTAACGAAGATACCTAGTCCCTTGGCTGCCCACTTTGCTTTAAACTATCTTGCCCTCGGGGTGCCTGGGTGGCTCAGCTGGTTAAGCGTCTGACTTCGGCTTAGGTTATGATCTCACAATTCGTGGGTTCAGGACCCACACTGGGCTCTGTGCTGACAGCTCTGAGCCTGGAGCCTGCTTCAGATTCTGTGTCTCCCTCTCTCTCGGCCCCTCCCCTGCCCCTCAAAAATAATTTTAAAAAAAGCAAAAACCTATCTTGCCCTCTACTGCACAGCCGTTCCTACTAGTGCAATGTAAGAGAAAAAAACACAAACTTCACTCTCAGCCCCAACTACTGGAGGTAACACTATCTGAAGAGGGGAGAGGAGAAATATGAACACAATATATTCCAGTCAAGAGAATATATAGGGACTTCTATTCGGTATAATCTATTCTCTTTCTCTGATGCAGTTAAGGATTACAGTTGATTTTACCCTTTGCATGCAGTTTTGTATCTTCTGGATCAAAAAGGAGGTGGTTTACACAGTGGCAAATGGTAGGGCAAGAAGACCGGCAACATGCCTGAAGGCTTCAGTCATCCCTGTTTTCTCCCTGTTGCTCTGAGAGATCACTGCTTATACCTGAGCCACACTGTTGGGTTTAAAGAATAATAAAGGCACGGAAAGAAGAAGTTACAGCTTCTCAAATATTTTTTCCTAATAATTAAAGAGGGGGGAAAAAAACCTGAAGAAAATGCATGCAAAGGCGTCTGTAAGCTATTTGAGTCATTCCATCGCTTTCCAAAAAATAAATAAAAAAATCTACCTTGGGGGAGAAAATCGGACGTCCCCAGAGCCATCAAAGCAGCTCCTTAACACTGCCTAGTTTCATCCACAAAAACAGTGATCCAAGACGCGGTGGGCCCTAACGTCACGAAGCGGCATGCTGAGGGCAGCAGGCTCGGGGACACTGGGTCTCTGTTCCGCAGGCACGGGCGGGGACACCTACCATCGGGGAGCGCCCGTAGGCCACCACGGCGGCGGCGGCGGCGGCCGCGCTCATCTGCGGGGACATGTTGTGCAGGCTGGCGTAGGCAGCGCCGGGGCTGGTCAGCTCCCCGTTCATGCCGGCGTGGGGCACCATCCCGAATGGGGCAGGGTACGGGCCGGGCACCGCCAGCGGCGTCCTCAGGCCGGCCGCTGCAAGGAAGCACAAGCCGCGCGCGTGACGTGACTCAGCCGGCCGCTGTGGTCCAGCCTGACCGTCAGCTCCGGGGTCCCTTCTAGCGCCGTTCATGAGAGGCCAGGACAAGCCGGGAAAGCTTGGGTGGGTGGTTTGATCACCACCAACTTGGCTGAAGTCCTCTCCAGGGAAAAAGAGACCCCAAGGAAAGCATTGCCCACCACTTCCTCCTTGGTATAGGCTTGGCACCACTGCGAAATCAGGGAATTAAAATGAAGCAGCAGTATCGTACCCAATTCATAGATGGCAAACCAAGGCCCACACACTACCTGTCTACTTGACTTAATCTCAAAAGAAGGTTTGGATAAAATCCAAGATTTCTCCTTCAGTTCAAACTTTCCACTCTTTGGTACCAATTCCAAACAAAAACCTGACCCTGGGTTTAGTAAGCCAAAGCATAGGTTCAGGAGGAATATTCTGGGGCCTATTTTCCTCTGGGCCCAAGGTGTTAAGGAAGATAAAGTCAAAAGTTACCAATTTATTCGCTCGACTCTCAGCGAAACCCTCCCAATTTCTCCTGCCGGAGAGACCAGTGATTCCTGAGGGATGAGCCGGCAGAAAATCCGCCAAGTAACGTGAGCAAGCGGCACACTTGGGCCACCCGTTTCAGTCAGAATTAGGGAACTCAGACACACAGTGACAGTTCGGGAAGGAGCTTACATGCGGAATTATTATCGGAAACTTCATCGAAGTTCCTAGGATTTGGATTATTTGGAAATAAATTTTTTAAAAATGCCAAATGTAAACAGTCGGAGACCGAACAGGGTGCAGCTGCTGAACCTCTCAGGACAAACATCTGTTTCTTATCATGGCTTTTCAGGGATAGGAAGGAGGCAGGCAGGCAGTAAGTGCATTTCATATTCATGGGGAAATGGCGTCAGGAGTGCACAGACAACGAACCAAGCCGGGAAAGGGAAAAAAAACAAAACAAAGCACAACAAGAGGCAATGCTCTACCGGCTTGGTTAACGAGGGGGTCCATGGCTGGAGGCTTGCCGAGGCCTGGACGGAGTCCTGGAGTGGCGCTGGTGCCCGGCGTTGGCATGTCGCTCCGAGGCGTCGGTGTGCTGGATTTCAGAACAGGCGTGCTGGCTTTTTCATGCTGGTATCATTAAACAAATTAAATGAGTATTATTTTTAATCCAAGCCATATTACACAATTTATCACAACAGCAGCTGGGACACTGGGCACCTTCTAGCTACTCCCTCAGCCAATTTCCATAAATCCACACAATGTTGACAGCATTAACTTGTGAGCGAGAAATGTTGACCTTTCCTCTTCCTGCCAGAATTAAAACTCTAGCTAGAGACACAGAACATGATCACACTTCTTCCTCCGCAGATTTTATTTTAAAAAGTATTTTTCCATCAGGCGTGTGGACTTTGGAACTGGGCCAAGTTAGAATGATGACCACCCAGAGAAAAATTCCCAGTCACTCAGAAACAAATGGCCCGGTCACCAAGAATGTCAGAGGGAGGATCTCTATTTTCTAATCTTGCCTTTTAGTAGCAGTGGAATTGAGATGAATGGTGAGAGGCAGCAGGGCCACTGATCTGATGAGAAGCAAACTGGCATCTCAAAGCCAAAAGCCCGAGAAGGAGTCTTATCAGTTTGAGAGATATGTGTGGAGCTTCACACGGCCACCCGCTTGCCTACATAACCGGTGTGGACCCGCGAGCACAGAGGCCTTCAGGAGTCAGTAACGGGGTTACAGGGCATCATCCTTGTCATCTCAACCTTTCATTCTTTAAATCCAGGCCTGAGAAGTGCTGTGGGGTAGCAAAGAGCATGCACGGGCTAGGGAGAGACCCCAGCCCCCTCTGGCCATGGATCTGATGGCTGTGTAAACTTGGCAAGCTCCTCAGGCTTTCCTCCCCTTCAGTGAAATGGGATAATGCCTAGGAAGACTGTGTAGGAATCAAACACAGGGTTGTTATGGCTCGGTTTTTGTGAGTTATGAGATGACACACTCCCCAGTATTTGCTGAACGGTTGAAAGCATGAACAGGCTCCAAGGCTCTGCCCTCCCCATGCCAGTTCCAGGCTTCCCCTGGGCCCCGGGGCCATTTGAGTACATCCCCACTCTGACCCCAACCCAATTCCAACATGCCCTGACACAATGGGTCAGTTTAATACAAGGCAAAATGGACAGCTTAAGAAAATGAGGATTTCTCAGGACCTACGAGGTTGCCCAGTAAAAGGGTAATGGACGTGGAAGCTCTCTAATCACGGCCCAAAAGAGCCTACTGAGAGGGAGAAAGGAAAACACTGTGTGGGACAAAGAGTACGAGGAGCAGACTCACTTTAAACACTTAAAAACAGAACTCTCACTCAGTAAAAAAAAAAAAAAAAAAAAAAAAAAAAAAAAAAAAAAATCCCCATGTTTCAAATACTTGAGGGTCCTCTGAACCACAAAGGATAAATAAACTGCTAAATGGGCAAGTGATGGCTCTTATGACCTACCAAGCTCATTTCTTTGGATTTCAAAGAAGTGGAGCTTCCCGAGGAGGCTGTGGATGCTGGGCTGCTAGAAGCATCTTTCTTCAGCAGACGGTTTTTGTCGATCCCATTTTCCCTGGGTGAATGGGCAGGGCTTGCTCGCGGAGAAGAAGGGTCCTTAACAAGCATAAGTAAAGTTTTCATGATTTCATTTACAATGGATGGAACTTGCGCTTTACAGACTCTATTTCCACACCAATTCTCTAAATTAAAGGAGGGCGCTCTAAGTCCTTTAGATCTGGGGGACTTGGGAGTGTGCAATGTTGTTATCATTACCAGGATGGTATTTGCAAACACACCCATGAAGACAGCACAGAGGAAAACACATCTAGGAACTATCATATCCTCCCCTCATGCTCATACTTTGCCCAGAGGGCACTGGAAAGAAAGGAGCACTAGATATCCAGCATACAAATCCAAAATGATAGGGAAAACAGATTTTTCTTTTTAAAGGAAACAAAAGTTCTCATCAGGTAGACCACTATCGTTCCACCCGTGAACAGCCACTAAATTTTTAACGTGTAAAGTTGTAAGAAACCAAACACCATGGCTCCACCGTTCTGTTTTCTCAAAAGTCACTCTGAACATAAACTTTGAGAAAATGATTGGTTACCTCGTTAGACACATCCACAACTAAGTTGTCATCGCTTTTGTCACCATCGCTGTCCTGGAAAAAGACATTTTAATGCCATTTATTAAAGGGTTGGAGGCCCAGTTAAATTTCAAGAGTTCTTGGTAGCAGACAGACTAAAAAATGGCCTAGGACAAGCCTACAGGTTCCATTCCAGACTGTCAGCCCCTTGTCATTAACACCACCTCCCCCCTACTTATCTGACCTGGGGCTACGCAAAGCTCCAGGGAGGAACCGTTGCAGTAGCATACCTGCTACATATCATACTGGTGAGCACAAGTTCCAAACACTGGGTACCTAGTAAGAGCTCAATAAATGCTTGTAACAGCTGAATCTCTTTTATAATCTGAAATCCGCCATGTCTTTATAAGAGGACTCTTTCCCACTGGATGTTAAGAATACAATTTCATGTCATTGCTTTGTGTGTATCATTCTTGAAGACAGCCAACAAATCTCGTGTTCATAGACAATTTGTAATTACAAAGACAAACTTAAACCATGTTCCCATTGGGTTACTAATTACTGAGGAAAAAAAACAGCAAAAAACTAAAAACAACAAAGCTATCTACTCGACTGGAATAACATTAGGACATATTAAGAATAAACCTTGTTGGCAATCAGTTTGGAATATTTTTGGAGAGATGGAAGGAACACAGGATGGCAAAATCTGGAGGGCACTAGCGTCCTGCCCTTGGGCTTTTATTTTCTCTTCATAAAGCCATAAAATTTGCTAATCAAGGAAACTGCAAGGTTGCACTAAGTTTGAAAAAGCTTCAGAAAGCCTATTCAATTTATGTTATCATTCCTACATCAAGTTTAGGGCAGAATGAAAAAGTCCACTTTCTTAGCCAAAAGGCTTTGCGTCCTTTAGTACAGAGTAATAGAATGGGTACATGAAAGAAGTATGATGTCGCCATGGGTCCCGGTTCTCAAAAAGTAGTAGGTGACGAATTTATGATCTAAACAATCCTTTTACTGATGTCACTGTTAATTACGAATACACAAGTGTCTGACAATTTGTACTAATAAGTACAAGGGCGAATATTAGCCACAATGGCTTTCTAAGGGGCCTCCATGTTCAACTAGAAAGTTATCCTCAACTTTAAATTCATACCTTTTAAATGTTTTTTTTCTTTCTTTTTTAAATGTTTATTTATTTTTAGAAAGAGAGGGAAGAGAGAGAGCACGAGCTGGGGAGGGGCAGAGAGAGAGAGGGAGACACAGACTCCGAAGCAGGCTCCAGGCTCTGAGCTGTCAGCATAGAGCCCCATACTAGGCTTGAACTCACGAACCGTGAGATCATGACCTGAGCTGAAGTCAGCTGTTTAACCAACTGAGCCACCCAGGAGCCCCTTAAATATTTTTTTCTAACTCACCTAGAATGTTACATGTGGAAGACCCAATTTACTTTCTTCCAACAGTGTGTTACTAGATTTACTTTAATCATTGTTGTTAAAGCACCATGCAATTCACTGTAACAACATAAAATTATAACCAGTGAGGAAGCCTGGGTAATTCAAAATAACAGCCTATTGAAAGAAATATTTTTATGTAATAAAAGAAAAAAAGTTAATACTAAAGAAAATTTGCTTTCTCTCTTAGTAAAAGACTTCAGAAAAGCACAAACGTTTTTCAGGCGTTAAGAACCCAAAGACAGCGGCAGTGAAAAAATAGAAGCCAAAAGGTTTTCCCTTTTAGAAAAACAATTACAAAAATGGTTCACATATTGTACAAACTGGCAAAAAGTAGCAAATAACTCATTTACTACAATGAGCCTATGAAGTCCTTAAGGAGTCTGTAATTTCAATCAGCTTTGCACTGGACGCTTCCGCCAATGTTAAGCCTTCACAGTACAGTGTGAAGGTCATCAAAGAGCTAAGGTCTGAGGGCTTCGCCCCAGACTCTCCAACATCATGTCAACACATCACCCTGAACTACCTATACAACTGGCCATACCTAATATAAGCAGGTTATAAAACAGTAAAGCACAGCTATGGATTCTGTTCTCGATCACTTGCTACTAAGTATCTACACAAGTCTCATGCAGAACTCAAAACTGTATTATTGGCAACCTCCAAATTTCTGCATGTCATGTCCTGGGAATGTTATCATAGTGCAAAGTGTGGACCAATACAAGGACCTCTGGCAAAATATCCATTCCTAGACCCTCAGTTTGGGAATCTTAGCCTGGTGAAGACAATGCATTCTGGAGTTAGACTGCCTCCAGGCTCTGCCACTAACTCTGACCTTGGGCAAATCACTTACAAGCTCTGTGCCTCAGTTTCTTCCTCTAAAATGGAAGTCATGGCACTGAACTCACAGAGTTAAGAGCCCAATGAAACAATCCATGTAAAAGCACACAGTACCTGATACTAACAAGCTGTTGCTCAGGAAATATTACCCACTGTTGGCTCTTGGCTTGAGCCGGCCAGAAGGAGGCTGAGAGGCCTAGCGTGTAAACCCCCATATAACCTGCATGCCAACCAGAGGCGGACACTTCTTCCACAAGCAACAGGAAGTGGCCTAATACAGCATTCTGGTCTCATGCTGTTCCCAGGAATGTGTCCATCTTGAAATAGACACACTCGGGGACACACAGAAAACGCCAAGTCATCTATCAGCTGCAGTTTATGACCCTCGGACCTGAGCCAATCTCCATGTGGCTTGGTTTGCTCTCCTTGTGAATGTGGTTGCAGCTAGATCTGAGTCAAGTGCCCTCCCTCCACAGGCCTGTGTTCTCAGTCTGCAGGGTCTGATTTAGATGCCTTCAGAGTTTTTCCCATTTTCACCAATGGACTTACATCGCTAAACTGCTTGCTGTTCAAGAGGATGAACTATACCTCAAGACTTAATATGAGTCTGAACACATCAACAGAACAGCATCCCAAAAGGTATTCTGTAACAGTGAAATTCTTACCCTGATTATTTTAGCAGGACAGGCTACCGAATTTGTAGGGCCGAGGACAGAAAGAAGATGCAGGCCCTTGTTCAAAAATTGAGAATTTGAAGATGATGAGAGCAGAGCATTAAACCGAGGGCAAGGTCCCTTTAAGAGCAGGGCCCTATGCAAATGCACAGGCTTCAAGTCCACAAAGGTAGTCCTGCATGCTTAAATCCCCTCTTAGGAGGAACTTAGGCAGAAAGCCTAAAATGTAATAGTGAGCCTGGCAGAGCATAATTTACAGCTCTAGAGGGAAACAGTACCTTATAATGTAAGAATCTATTCTCTTTATAGTATTAGAAATTTAAAGGATGTGAGATTATCACTAAAATCTTAGAGTACGCTTGTATGTTCACTTAGAAGTAAGCAAACAAGTACTGTTTCAAGTCCTTTATTTACTTACATAGTGGCTGGAGTCCTTATCATCCACCTTTCTTTTTTTGATGTCATTGGAAAATTCAGGCCCATTTCTGCGTTTATCTGTGCCCCTTAGACTGTCTGGGACCAAGAGGGAATTACTCTGCAAGACAAAAAAAAAAAAAAAAAAAAAAAAAAAAAAAAAAAAAAAAAAAAAAATCAAGGATTCCTTCCCAGGTCTTTTTGTACACATGAAAACCCAACCTGGATGTAACAGCTATATTAGAAGGGTGATACCTACACAGCCTTTCATTCCATTTAATTCATCTTGGCTGAAGACTTGGATGGCAAACATTTATGGAGGTTCAAGCACTTAAAAGAGAGACCCTGACTATGCAATCAAACCATGTGAAGCCTGGTGGATCCTTCAGGCCCTACTCACTTAAAATGTTCTTCCGTTCTTTTTACTGTTAGAGAAATGGGAGCTTGCTGTTTACATGAGGATGTGTTTTTTATTCTTTCCCACTGCGATTTCCTGGTCAGGAATATAAATGGCCTATGAGCAGAACCTGAGATTATTCTATTAGACATATTCTGTGACTGTAACAGTCAATGTGTGCCCCTCAAAAAACACACACCGAGAGAGCAGGTGAGATTAACAGCGTGGCTTCCTAAAAGGCAAATCACATTTTCCACAGCAACAATGAAGGAACTCTTTTGAATTCTTTTAATTTACTGTTGAAAATAAGATTTGGTGTTCCTTGCCAATAGCACTGAAATTTAAGACCCAAAGCGGGCATTTCAGCCAGTGAATCTTCAACAGCTAGGCCAGCTCCCCCACACAAAAGCAGAAGCAAGGACTAATCTTTTCTACCAACCACACAGGAGACTTTCATTCGCAAGTGCCAAGTAGGAACTGTTGACCCAAAGAAAACAAGCATTTTAGGTATTTGGGGGTCACATGACACGATCTGCCATCCCTTCAATTCCCATCTCCCCTCAGGCTAAAGCATCAGAACAAGTTACAATGAGTCCTTTTAAGTACAGGATTAGCATATGCAAGGGGGCAATTTGTTCAGTGATGTGTTACTGCCTTGAACAATACTGAAGGAGCTGTGCAAAAATCTCCTTCACAAAGCCCAGATAACCCCCATTTCTGCAAGATGTAGGAGAACTAACAAGAGGATGTCCAGGGCCAACAGACAATTATGTAACCTTTCTCTGCCACAATTTAAAATGGAAGGGGCTGGGGAAAACCTTCAAGTTAGACCACCCCTAATGCAATGGCATGTACCAGAAACAAATTTTTAAAAGCCGGGGTGGGGGATTGGGGGGGGTCTTCGCTCCTAACCAGTCCAAGATGATAGCCAGGTGGCTGGCTCTCAAAGCCTCCTCGTGAAAACTGTGGACTTCACCATGGGAGCATTCCCAGCTCAACCACACACAGGAGGAAATCAAAACTGGGGACCAGGAGGCAATCTGAAGCCTCTTTGCCCACTGCAGGGGCTGACACCGAAGTGAGCTGAGCTTTGATTCATGACCATTCAAGCTATACAAATGCAGGAGGCTTTCATAAAAGCAGAGGGAGGGACCCATGCAATTCAATACAGAGTAGCTCCGAGTACTGTCTTTAGCACAGTGTGTGGGGCTGAAAGGTGAGCTGGCTGGATCCCTAAACTAATTACCTTAGTAAATGTCTGCTAAAAACTAACCCTTCCGACCCAGACTCACCGCCCCCCCCCCACCCCACCGCCCCCAATAGGACACAGGAGACTTAAGAAAACTCCTGAAAGTGTTAATGCGTATTCCTAAAAGCTGAGCCATGGAGGGGAGGAGCAGCTTGTGCTCAGGTGTAAACAGCGTCCAATAAATGCACCTGCCTGTGTTTTCGATGTTATCAGCTCTGAAGTCTCCTTGTCCAGACACTGATCAGGTAGATGCATTAAGGGCAGTGCCACAGCGCACTCAACTTTACAGCTGCCCCAGTGCCCTGAAGAATGCAGCATAGGCTTGGTGTCCACATGCAATTTTAAAGTTAAGTCTCTCCATAGCCTTCCTGCTATAACCAGCACTGGACATCCAAACCGCTCAGCCATTCATAGACAGTTTTTTAAGGATCCTATTATTTTTTTTAATGATGTCAAGTGGTATTGTAAACATAAAAGTAAACTACACTTCTGTTAGCAACAATGCAATTTGTCAGAAACAGTGACATTTCTATAGCCGGACCCATAAGCCTGTCAAGCTTTGACACCTCTGCTTCTACACGTTAGAAGTTACTACTGTAATTCCCGCATGAAGGGCTTCAATGAGGTCTATAATCTGAATAGGTTTTGAAAAGCTCTGGAAGTTCCTCTAAATTTGGACACAGCTAGTAATTAGCACCCCTACTTATGTGAAAATTGGCTCCATTCAAAATGGCAGACTCAGACAAGTTACGAAACACAATGTCTCATGGTACCTTTGATGCCATAAAATGGATTCAAAACAAGGCCCCAAAGACTGTGGGTGGAAAGGCCTGGGAGAGCCACAGTCAGGAGCCAGGGGGTAGCTGGTTCATGCTGCAGCCCCACCAAAAACAGACCACTTCCTTTTACCCCTGTTCCCATGAACCCAGTCTCCTCTGTGTAACGGTCCCCGACATCTTCCAGCTCTGACACTGCTTTCATTGTTTTTCCTGATTTAAGCAAACAGTTCCAGCCTAATGAACTTCACTGTCGGCAACAACAGCTGTTTTGGTTAAACTACTGCCTAGGTGACCCTAATCTTCATGGTCCCCTTGTGCACTCCCCAGAAACCCAAAAGTGACTTCACAGGTATTAGTGGCTGTCTCGTGATACCATAAGCTCCCCCTACCCCCCAGAGCTCTGTGCTTTCCTCACACACCAGCTTCTGTTCCTCACAGCTCAAGGGTGAGTAATAGTCATTAGGAGCCATTTTATACACACTGTAAGAATAAAAAGATTATTCCTGGGTAGTGACTATCATTTGGATTTTTCAAAATTTAGAGTTCTATCTTGATTTGTTAGATCTGGACTTGGATAAGATAGTATCACATTCAACATTAACCTTTAACATTTAATCAACATTGAAAAAGGCAAAAGAATGAAACTTAAGGCTGCTTCACTGTTTTTTTAGACTTGTACATTGGAAATACAGATGGTAATTAGATCAAACCTTTGAAGAGGCCAAAGCAACCTTAAACAGACTTACTATTCATCCTCTTCATCCCCCTCCTTTTATCTGGAGGCTGACCAGAGAGGGGAGGCAATTTATCTAAAGTCACAAAGCTCTTCCTATTCAGTGTCTCCACTCCCAGAGGAGTGATTCTTATATGTAACTTACGTACATTGAATACTTTCCCCCACATACTTATCACTTAAAAGTCACACTGGCTCTGTTAACCATTAACATTTAACCATTTAACATTCTTTTTTTTTTTTTTTAACGTTTATTTATTTTTGAGAGACAGAGATAGGGTGCAAGCAAAGGAGGATCAGAGAGAGAGGAGGAGACAGAATCTGAGGCATGCTCCAGGCTCTGAGCTGTCAGCACAGAGCCCAAAGTGGGGGTCGAACCCATGAACCTTCAGATCATGACCGGAGCCAAAGTCATTGCTGAACTGACTGAGCCACCCAGGCGCCCCTACCCATTTAACATTCTAATATGACAGAACAATACCTAATGCAAGCTGCATGCTTTCTCTGACAACCCCCCCACACACACACTCAGATTCCTTAACAGTCTCTGTCTCTGTCTCTCTCTCTCTCACACACACACACAAACACACACTTGGTTTTATGCCACCATACAAAAACTGTGAACATATTTTTAAAAATTATTCTATATTAAAATGACCCCAAGACAGTCCCAAATTCCTGCCTTTCCACTCCCGAATCCTGCCATTTGCAACCCAAGATGCAAACTAAAACAGGCGTCAGCAGAGGGCAACTCAAAGTAGTCCAGGGACCCACAGCATCACTTCACGCGATGTCAACCACGGCCACTAGCCGCTGTGCAGACTTAGTTGCCACCAGACTTCTCCCAGCGTTCATATTTTGAAAGGCTTTAATCTATTAAACAGCATTCATCAAGTAAAGTTCATTTTCAAACATTTAATCTGCCAAATAAATATTTAATTGCGAATCAGAGTTTTTTCAATCCGCATGAGAACTAGGGTTATCACACGGACTGATACACTCTAATTCTAGCCAAGAAACTCAATGTTTTATTTCACCTTGCAGCTGGTAAAATTTAAATATCTGCCAGAATTTTCAAAAACGATAATTACTGGTCAAATTTCTATTACAAATGTCCTGAGGTCTGGGATTTTTGAGACTGCATGTAAGTTTCCCTTCGTTTTTAAAATTCTGTTTTAACTAAACAAAATCATCTTATTTACTCTGTATCTTCCACAAGAGCTCGAAATTGGGAGATTTACACAGCCACAGGGGAGATTACAAATCTGAGCAAATCAAGGTCAAAAAACACATTATGACTTCAAAACAAACTGAAATTCTAAAACCATGGGGTGCCTGGGTGGCTCAGCTAGTTATGTGTCGGACTTTTTGTTTGTTTATTTTGAAAGAGAGAGAGAGAGCTAGCATGTGGGGGGAGGGGCAGAGAGAGAGAGAGAGAGAGAGAATGAGAATCCCAAGCAGACTCCAAGCTGTCAGCCCGGAGCCCAATGCAATGCAGGACTCAACTCACAAACTGTGAGATCTGACCTGAGCTGGACACTTAACCAACTGACACACCCAGGCACCCTGGTTAAGTGTCTGACTCTTGATTTCAGCTCAGGTAGAGATCTCAAGGTTTGTGAGATCGAGCCCCACATCGGGCTCTCATGTGAGCGCGGAGCCTGCTCAGGATTCTCCCTCTTTCTGCCCCTCTCCCCAGTCTCTCAAAATGGATAAATAAACTTTAAAAAAAACCATTAAAAATAAAAAAAAATTCTAAAACCGCGATGATTTTCTGTACATGTGGCACACACTTATGAGAAGAGAGCCAAGGAAAACAGTAAAGGGAGAGGTACATCTGACAGGTCTCTAGAGAAAAAAAAAGATCCCCCTCCAATGCTGACCACCAGTCAGAAGAAAGAGGGTCCACAAGACCTGTCAGCCCCATGGCATACGGTTCTCTCCATCTGTAGGTAGAAAACTA